GATTATAAAAAAACATTTTATTGTTCCTACAACACTTATGGTATTTTAATATTTAAATCTTTAATTCATCTGAAATTTGCTTTTGTGCGAGGTATGAGGTAGAGAGTTTCTTCTCTAGGTAGTCAATTGTTTCAATACCATTTATTGAACCTATTTTCATATTTTATTTTACAGAAATGAGAGAAAAACCCAAAGCAGAAGAACCAGAGATACCAGCAATTCCAAATGTTCCTCAAGAAATTCATCCAGAAAATGATGTCTTTAGTTATGTTTTGTTTTAACAATGCTCAACCATCAATAGTTGTCCAACAAAATACACATCTTAATATATTATGCGTGTGGTTTTCTCAAAACTGTAGATCTCTACAATACTCATTAATATTTTAAGGTTTTTTTTTTTCATGTATAGACTATATCTGGGAGAACGAAGGTGTTTTTTCAGGCTCTATGACGTAGATGATATCCTGCTAGTGTGTGCATGTGTGTGTGTGTGTGTGTGTGTACGTATATTGGGGTGAGGATAGTGGTGGGGAGAGACAGAAATGGGAAAGGGATGGCTGAGTAACTGACCCCCCCTTAAGAACAAACCTTTCTTTGGTTAATTCCTTTATTTTAATTTATTTTTTCCCTGGTTAATTCTTAAAAGTAGAGAAAGTATTGTCTGAACACTTAAAATCCGGGGGAGTAATAGTTTTCTTGTAAACTTTGTTTACTTATCAATGTAACAACAGCTTCGACATTTTATTCAGACTTGGTAGGCTTTTAAAATTAATTTTAACAATTACTCTGGGACTCCTTCAAAGATATTTTGAGGTGATGAGTGAGTGATGAATACAGTTTACTGGAGTGTCTGAATTTTGATTTTCTTTTTCCTTTTTAAATATTGTATTTGTGCAGAATGTACATTAAATCTTTATTACATGTTTCACCATTACCAGGGGTTTAATCTAGTCTTGTGGGGGGAATAAAACAGAATATAAATAATAGTAAATGCTAGTGTCATTTGAAGAGTAGATACAATAGAGGAAACACTCACTTTTTTTTTTTTTTTTTTTTTTGCTGGAGTGACCTAAAAAAATTACGTCTTCAAGGAGCCTTGAAATATGGAAAAGATTTGTACTGTAGGTGAGGATTGTGGCTTTATTGTATTGTATGTGACACAGAGAAGGATGAATTCAGGACATATTCAAGAGAACTATATGCAAACTACAGGTGATGCACGGTCCATGTGGAATAGCAGGCTAATAGGCTAAAAATCTCATATTATTAGAGTGGACAAAATTTTGCATCCCTAAGAAGTATGTGTTAGGTAATGTGGAACTAAGTAAGACTTTTGAACAATGCAGTTTTAGTATTTTAAGAATATCTATCTGGTGATAATGGTCAGGGTTAGCTGAAAATGAAAGATACTGGGGGCAGGAACAGGAGTTATTCTGGGTGGGAAGATATCTGAAAACTGCAGTTTTCCATCTATTAGTACAGAAGACTCAAAGTGAAAGCTATTTTTACAAGTAAAGGTTTAGTTCAGCAAGGACACAATTGTACAAGCTCTCCATATAGGTACAGAGGCACTGTGCCAGGTACTAGGCTAGACAGTGAAGAACAAGACAGAATCCCAGTTCTCACAAGCGTTCACAGAGTAGAAAGAGGTTCTCAACCCTCAGGATCCATTAGAACCACTGGGGAAGATTTCAAAATTACAGCTGTCCAGACACCTCCCCAGAGATTCTGATTTACCTGTCTAGGATGGCATCCAAGCAATTTTTTAAATTGCTTTTTTGTTTTAAATAATATTTTTGAGAAATAATTTTAGAAATTATAGAAAACTTTTAACGATAGTACAGAAGTTTCTGTATACCTCTCACCCTGTTTATCCTAACGTTAACATGTTCTGTAACCATGGTCCATTCATAAAAACTTATGAAATTAAGACAGTGACATTACATTATTTGGATTTCATTAGTTTTCTACTAATGCCATTTTTCTGCTTCAGGATCCAATCTAGGATACAACATTGCATTTAGGGTATTTGAAAAGGTCCCCAGGTGATTCTAATGTGCAGCTACAGTTGAGCGCCACTGGTATAGTGGGAGATTACAATGCTTTTCCCTCCTGTTTGCACACACTCCCCCCACCAACATTACATTTTTTTCCCTCCCGGGATATATTTATCATACAGGGATTACTCACACCCCGTTATATTAGTCCAGTGACATATTGAGGGCAGCATTACCATATAATAGTCTTTTACATCTGGATGGCACTTCAGAATTTATATTTTCATATACACTTATTTGATTTGCACAGGAGTCTGTGAAATGGGTGGGTCAATGATTATCATTCCAGTTTTATAGATGAGGGAATAGCCTCAGAGAGGCTGGGTACTCACCTAAAGTCACATCTAACTTCTTCAATGCTTTTCTATGCTGGGTCTAATCTTAAGAAATCTTGTCTCAATTCACCTGCCAGAGTGGGTCAACATTAGAAGAAAAAGAGTAAATGGAAGTTTCATGTTCTAAGAGGGTTGCATTAAGATGAACCCTAAGATACTTGCATATGTACAATGCACAGGGGCATAAAGGTGAAAGAGATGGGCAAGTAGATGGAATGAGGCATATAGTACATTAGAAGGAGAGGGATCTTCTCTTTTTACCTCTTAGGACCCTTTCTGCTTGTCCTCTTACCCCACTCCCTGTATACACAACCTCTGCTTTCTCACTATTCTCATTCAAACACCAGTGTGCATCTAAACATTTTCCAGTTTTCTTCTTTGGCTTTGAACCTTGAAGTCACAGAATCAAAAGTTTTGCCACCATTTACCCCTACTTTGTGCTACTTTCCTCTCATGGTAGGTACAATACTGGTTCTTAAAAATCCATGAATCCGGGGCGCCTGGGTGGCTCAGTCGTTAAGCATCTGCCTTCAGCTCAGGTCATGATCCCAGGGTCCTGGGATCGAGCCCCGCATCGAGCCCCGCATCGGGCTCCCCGCTCAGTGGGAAGCCTGCTTCTTCCTCTCCCACTTCCCCCGGCTTGTGTTCCCTCTCTTGCTGTGTCTTTCTCTGTCAAATAAATAAAATCTTTAAAAAAAAATCCATGAATCCTATGCTTTTAAATCTAAAATTATGCATAAGAAGTCCCAAAGCTTTAATTGCTTTTCAAAGGAATCCTTCATCCAAATGGAAGATTAAGAACTATTATAAGGAGAAGTGTCTCTCTAAGTGTAGGCTGATGACCACCTATATTAGAATCATTTAGGTTTTTTTTAAAGGCAGATTCCTAGGTCTCACCTCCAAAGAAACAGTTGCCTTATAAACTACAAATAATCAGATATAATTCCAGAAAGGATAATAAAAAGCCTCGGATCACATAATAAAAGTGCTACATATTTAAGTTCCTGTTTTCCATAAAAAGAAAATTTACCTTTGAAATTTAGATGTAGCAAGCTGCTTCATCAGGGTCTCCAAATCTGCTTTGCATCGCAGTCACACTCAGTAATGCGTTATTTTGCATGATTATCATTAGATAATGGTATCTAGGGTCAGGAGGGCAAATACCTCTCATTTTCCGCATTTGTCTGTCCACAAATTAAGCGAGGCATCACTTTCAACACCACCATCTAGTGGCAAACGCAGCTATTACGGCCCCAGTTTTATAAAGTGTATATAGCTCAATTGTTCTCAAACTTGTTTCTGCGGGAGCACAGATTAATGGCATTCCTTCTGGAAACAGATTAATAGCATTCTTTTCCAAATGTTCATGGACAGAGGACGGAGAACAGATATATGAATTTGATCAATTTTAAAGTGTCTTATTTTTATTATTTTTTAAAGATTTTATTTATTGGAGGGAGACGGAGATAGCGAGAGCGAGCCGGAGCAGGGAGGGGAGGAGAAGCAGGCTTCCCGCTGAGTGCAGAGCCCTTACATGGGACTAGATCCCAAGACCCTGGGATCATGACCTGAGCCGAAGGCGGACTCTTAACTGACTGAGACACCCAGGCGCCCCAAAGGGTATGTGTTTTAAACCACAACCCTCTCTTTATATCTTCGGCTGTTGCTGGTTGTTTTCTACTAGTGATCTATAACTCCATGACAAATGAAAAGGTTTAGCAACAGATTTTCATGGCTGAGCTCTTAAAATCTGTGGACTTCCACGCTTTTGAATATTTCATATTGCAAGCCATATGTTCCCCCACCCCAAACAGGATAAAAAAACCCCAGAAACAGAATTATATGTACAGAGAAACTTGATATAGGGGAGAGATGAGGTTACAAGTAAGTAGGTGAAGGGATAGTATCGCTGCAAATTTAACTGGTCATCGCATGGGATGAAAACAGGATTCTTGTTGGCTCTCAACATGTCATAGCTGCCCAGAAACAAAGCTCACGATCTCTCCCATGTACATGGCGTATTGACTCTCAATTTCATTCTTGATTCAGTTCCCGGGTGGTATGGAACACAAAAAAGCCCCCACTTCTTAATCTCTATTCCAGTGTGACGCTCCCCATCCATTAGACGTGAAATAAGGCTTACTTAGGGTTCCTTGCTGACAAAACATCGTTTTTATTGTGGAAAAATTGGGAGTACACAGAAGTATAAATAATCATGTGCATTCCCACCACTCAAGAATTTCTAATTTCCTAACATCCGATCGTTATGCTATGTGGTAACTGCATATACACATCCTTTCTCTTTAAAAATCTGAGTCATTCATTGGACACGTAGGTTGGTTTTACTAATGTTTGAGAGAGACAGCACAGTGCGTAAATCTTCATCGATGTGTCCCCCTTCGCAAGCGCGGGAATTCGGAGTCGCTGACTGGCAGGGAATAGCAGCGGGTCAGCGGCAGGGAACAGAGAGCCAGGTCCGGGAGAGGTACCAAGGCCGGGAAATGGAAATCCAAAACCTACAGGAGCAACCAGCAGCTCCGCCAAGAGCGCGTCCCACTCCCGGCGCATGCGCCAGGCCCTGGCCCCCCACCACCCCGCCAGGGCGGCTACTGCGCAGGCACCAGGCTCGGAGACCGGAAGCGGAAGGCCTGTCGCGTCGAGTCGACACCTCAGTGAGTAGCAGCCATGCGCGTCTTGGAGGAGTCGGGGCCTCAGCCTACAGCGACCCCGTGCGGGTGCGTGAAGCCGGCTCTGGAAACAGGTAACTTCTGAGAAACCCGCGGTTCCGCACTCAAAAGAGGCCTAGGCTCAGGCCGCTGACCTGACTGTAGAGAGGGACGTAAAATGCGAGAACTTGAACCAGAGTGCGTCGTTCTATTTATTGCGAAGCACGGATCACATGGACCTGCGACCACGTGATTTTGCTGAGGCGAGCGGAATGATGTCATCTGCTGTTCTGATCTTGGTAGCAGCGGTCGGGTTGGGCCTGGCACGGTGGCTGGAACAACCACGTGCAGCGTAACAGCCTTTCTCGCAGAGTTCTTGCTCATATAGGAGAGATAGGATGTGAACGCTGGTGTTAGGCCGGTTAGGAGTTAATAAATACCCCCAAGAGAGAGGCATCCTGTGCTGTAGGAAGTGAGGCGGGAGATGTGGAAAAGTTCTGGGGCGAAGGGAAGAGACAGGAAATCTTTTTAAACTGGGCTTGGAAAGATGGGCATGAGTTTATTTTCACCTCATTATATAGAGTGGAATATTAACTTTAGAAATTAGAAGACCCAAATGGAAGAAAAAGTCTGCCATCACCCAGAGAAAACCACTGCTAATATCCTGGTGCCTACCTTCCATACTTGTTTCAGTGCATAAACGCTAGAAAAGTGGATTATGTGACCCCACTGTTTCATAACTTCTTTCTAAAACTTATTTCATATAAATTTATGGCCGTTAATAGTTTTAAGGGATTGCACATTATTTTGTTTTAGAGATGTGTTCTAACCAGCTCCCTATTTTATGGAGTTCAAAGACAAGGCATTTAAGTTACTGCCAGTTTTCACTGTTGTGAAGAAAATTCTTTTTTTTTTTTTTTTTTTAAGATTTTATTTATTTTTTAACAGCGAGAGACACAGTGAGAGAGGGAACACAAGCAGGGAGAGTGGGAGAGGGAGAAGCATGCTTCCCGCTGAGCAGGGAGCCCGAAGTGGGGCTCGATCCCAGGACCCTGGGATCATGACCTGAGCTGAAGGCAGATGCTTAACGACTGAGCCACCCAGGCGCCCCAGTGAAGAAAATTCTTAAGACTAAAATGTTTGTGTGTGTTATGTTTAACTTAGATTAAATTTACTGAAATTACTGTTACTTGTCAAAGGTTGTGCTCATTTAAAAATTGTTGCACGGTGCTAGATTACAGGCCTAATAGTTTGACAGGCAGGAAGGAGCAGTGCTCAGCGGTCTGTTACATAGCACCAGATTGGGGAGCTATAAATTTGAAATACTGGATGGTACAAGGAGGTTGATTGGATTCAGATTGTAGAGAACCTTGAATACCAGGTGGCTCAGTTGGTTAAGTGGCTGCCTTCCGCAGGGGTCATGATCCCAGGGTCCTTGGATCGAGCCCCACATAGGGCTCCTTGCTCAGTGGGGAGCCTGCTTCTCCCCTGCCTGCTGTTACCCCTGCTTGTACTTGCTCTCTGCCTCTCTCTCTCTGTGTCAAATAAATAAATAAAATCTTAAAAAAGAAAAGAAATATAACGTCTGTTAACCGTGTGGGAAACATGGAAAATTTAGTTAGTGGGTAGCATAAGGTTAAGGAGCGCAGAATCTGGAGTATTGGTGTAGTGTATTTTAACGAAGGGAGGGACCTGTGCTGGGGACATGAATTGTAACAAGGGTAATTTTACAGTCCAGGCGGGAGGGTCAAAAGGACCTGAACTCTTTGTCAGCACTAAGACATACAGATAAACTTTGTGTACAAAAACTCAGCATTAATAACTTGTTGGCTTTTCTCTTATTACACAGTTAGTACAATTGTAGTATTGTTAAAATGAGGGAAAAGCCTAAGTAAGAGCTTGCAAAACCACTTTCTGCTGAGCACTTTGTGTGGTACTAGGTACTTTACATATTTTTCCCATGATATTGAAACATATTGTCAGACTCTCCCCAACCAACTGTTAATTCCACTGTGATAAGAGTTCTTGTTGTTTTATTCAAACTTAGCTCAATGTCTGGCAATTGTATGATATTGGAGTGTGTGTTAAACAAATGAAAACAAGACACAGGGATCCCATCTTAATAGGTTAGGGGTTCTTTTTTGGCCATTTTTCTTTTTGGCATTTTAATGAACACCAGAATTATTTGGCCTCAGTTTCCTCATCTTTAAGGTATTTACTATCTTTATTCCACAGGGACATGGATGAGGATAAACAAAAGAATGCCTGTAAACATATTTGGAAAAAATTTAAAGTCATCAAAAATATACACAGTATGGAAGGGTCTTAGAATCGTAACATTGAGAGAAAAAGCAAGTCTAAGAAGATAACATGCAGTTTGATACCAGTTTTTATGGAGTTCAAAGACAAAATAAATGAAGTATTATATAGGCATGCATATGCATGTGATAAAATTATATTAAAGGAAGTGAGTGATTAAGATCCCATTCAGGCACCTGTTTATCTCAGGGGGAAAGGATGGGTTTGCCATAGGAGAGAAGCAACATAAAAAGATACATTTTGTTGGTAAAGCTCTAGTTCTTGGAATGGGTGGTGGGTACACAGGATTTCGTAGTATTATGCTCTATTATACATTTATTACATGTAATATTTTATATGTAGCCAATAATACAGTTTTAATAAGTGAAGAGTAACTAAAGGTGCTGTGAGGGACAACACCAGGCCTATAATCTTACCACCTGTGCTGGTAGGAGAGACTTAATTAATGGAAGCTGGAAATAAAATGATGGTCTACAGTGTCTGTATATCATCTCTTAAAAGAAGTAAAGTTTTCATGAGATGTGAAAAAAAAGTTATTTGTAAATTCAAAATGCTAGTTGTGGATACCTTGGACTTTAAACCTATATTGGTGCTGCTTGGCTTTTCTTCTTTTGAAAGGAGTTACTACTTAGGAAGAAAAAAAAGGATTTCTGATTATTGTAAAAATTTCAAATATTATACAAATTACAAAGTTAAATATAAAAATAATCCAAAAATCTCACTGTCTGTTTTTACCATATTACTACATCCGTTTTACCAAAATGTTAACATTTTGGTGAATATCCTTCCAAATAGCTTTCTAAACATATACAGGTACATATTTAAATAGGTAAATGTATAAGCAAACTTTCATAAATGGGATTATATTCTTTCAATTTTTCACTTTCCATTTTAATCAGTTTAGATTTAAACAATCCTTTTTTTCCGTGTAACATGAATTTTTTGAGTACCTACCCCCTTGCATGCAATGTACTAGACCGAACATAGCAGGAAACAAGATAGAAAAACTACCCACATGGAGCCTACATTCTAGGGGCAGAGAGCTACTAGACCAAGCCTAACCTGAAATCTCTTCTGTCTCTAGATATTTTAGTAGTATGATTACGATCCTGTGCACTCCCTTTATTGCTTAAACTACTTTGTTTCGTATGTTCTGTTTTTAATTGAATGCATCCTTATTTGGACATGTTTTCCCCACTATCTGAAAGTAGATCATTCCTATGAAATTTTTCATAAGCTTAAATGGCATAATGCGAAGAAGCAATTACCATTAATTTATGTGGAAAAATTGTTGAGTGTTCCCAGGCCCAAAAAATAACCTCTCTTAGGCTTTTCTGTTACTTCAGGACACATATTGCTAGTAGATGCACAAAATAAGTAAAAATAAAGCACAGATGCTCACAGACACAGTTCAAAGCTCTGGTGGCTTGATGCTCAGATGCTGAGTGTAGTTCCTGGGGAAGGACCTGGGTGGGGCTGATCTCACGGCTTGGGGTGCACCTTGCATCTATAACAGCTTGCTGCAGAACAAATGCTGAACACTTTTCACTTTTGCCTTTTTTTTTTTGGTAAAAGCAAACATTCTCTTTGGATTTCTTTTGATCAGCAAAAACAGATACTGATGTAGGTCTTTCGCAAACACACAGTGGCTTAATGCAAACTTTTGAAAAGCATGGGGATGTCTGTATACAACCTCTGTCTCCTTATCTTTCACTATTCTTTGCCTTATCTTTCACACTCCAGCCAATCAAAATAGCTTGTTCCCTGCATGTGCTATGACACTTCTCATTTAATTTTGTGCATGTTATTCCCTCTGTTTTATTTTAAAATATTTTTTAAAGAATTCATTTATTCTTTAGAGAGAGAGCGCGTGTGCACAAGCGTGAGCAGGGGGAGGGGCAGAGGGAGAGAATCTCAAGCAGACTCCATGCTTGGCACAGAGACCAATTTGGGGCTTGATCTCACAACCCTGGACCTCAGCAGAAAGCAAGAGTTGAGACGCTTAACTGACTTAGCCACCCAGGTGCCCCAATTCCCTCTATTTTAAATACCCTTTTAGCCCTGACCAAAGTCACATACCTTGGTAATGGTAACATAGAATTTGAATTATGGTCATAGTAGAACTTCTGAGAATGTCCCCTGTTTTTCTTAGACCTGCACTCTTTCTGGCTACCTAAAGGGATATAATAATGTGTGTGTAGTGTTGAAGATATTTATATGTATTCATGATATGTGAATCATTTTTAATAGTTGCATAACACTTGGTAGATGTTAAAACTATGAAATCAGTGCATTAAAGAAAACATGTTTTCCTACATCTTTATTTGACATTTTGACTAATGATTTCTTACCTACTTTTCTTCTGTAGGGAATCTTTTAACTGAGCCGATTGGCTACTTGGAATCCTGTTTCTCAGCCAAGAATGGTACTCCAAGGCAGCCGTCTATTTGTTCCCATTCGAGGGCTTGTTTGAGAATTAGAAAGAGCATCTTTAATAATCCTGAACATTCCTTGATGGGCTTAGAGCAGTTTTCTCATGTTTGGTAAGTTGTTTTATAGTTAGAAGTGGTTCTTTGGGTCAGAACTTGCCCTTGAGTAAAGTACTCCAGTTGAAGGCAGGCTTGGAGTCTGCCATCCAGACCACACTTACCTATTGCATGGAGTTCCTGTACCATATTCACACACATGACTCTATGCATAACTTGGACGCCCTCATGGAAGCTTGGGATCCACTGAGGGTGCACGTTCCATTTACAGTTGGTTCTTTTTTTTAAAATATTTTATTTATTTATTTGCTAGAGACACAGCAAGAGAGGGAACACAAGCAGGGGGCGTGGGAGAGGGAGAAGCAGGCTTCCTGCTGAGCAGGGAACCTGATGCAGGGATTGATCCCAGGATCCTGGGATCATGACCTGAGCCAAAGGCAGACGCTTAACGACTGAGCCACCCAGGCGCCCCATTTACAGTTGGTTCTTATTGTGATGAATGCCTTCTGTTGAGCTGAAATCTATAGATCTCAATTCTGCCTGTGGGTCATTATTCTACCTTCTGGACCAGGGGTCAGGAAGCTACAGTCCGTGGACCAAACCCATCTACCTCCCATCTTTGTAAATAAGTTTATGGGAACACAGCCACTCCCGTTCATCTATGTATTGTGTATGGCTGCTTTTGTGGTACAGTGGCAGAATTGAGTAGTTACAACAGAGACTGGTTGGCCTGCAAACCCTCAAATATTTACTGTATGACCCTTTACAGAAAAAGTTTGCAGACTCTGCTCTAGACCCATGAACAATTAAGTCTGTTCTCCCTAAGAGACAAAAGAGACTTTGGAAATCTGGATACTCTAAATAAAGTGTTACCTATATTAGCACCTGTGTTATATTAGTGTTCCTGTCACTTGCAATTCTGTCTCTGTCCATTCTTCCTCACTCCAGCATCACCAGGATGACTTGGTCTAATTTTACTGGTGAAGACCTAAAATTAAGTATTTATTCTGAAATAGCTTATGTTTTTGTTAATTTGGAGATGTGGGTAGAGTCAAAACAACATGTGTCTGACCTAGTTTGTATGATCTTGGTTAAATTAATTAAATTAAAAACATTGCTGATATAAAAAAAAATGGGTCCAGATCTATATAAAGAGATTTTTGTATCCTTCCTATTTTTCTTCTTGCTCATTCTCACCCCCTAACACTCTGCAGAGATTTTTATTGTTAATAGCTTGGTGTATATCCTACCTTGCCTTTTCTGTTTCTTTTTTAATAGACATAGAGGCATAAACATACACATTGGGAGTAGGTGTTTGTTTTAAACAATGGAATATATTTTCTTCATTTAACAGTGTATATCATGACAGTACATACAGATTTATCCTTTTTGCTTTAATGGCTGTCTCTTATTGCAAAATACAGATAATACCATGATTTGACTACTCTCTTGTTAATGGATTTTGCTATTACGGTAATGCTGTAGCAAACCTTCTTAGACACAATTTTTGGCACTTGTACATTTTTACAAATTGGTATCGGAAATGGTTATATTGAGCTAAAGGGTGTGCATATTTATAATTTTGGAGAGCTGCTGCCAAATTGTGCTCTAAAAAGCTTAATTTATGTATCATAAGGGTATGAAAATGACCTTTTTCCTACGTTCTTGCTAACATTATATGTTCAAGTTTTTCTGCATTTTTGTCAGATGGAAAAACAATATATTTTTAAAATTTTTATTTATTTACTTATTTGAGAGAGAGAGTGAGCATGCACACACATGGGGAGAGGGGCAGAGGGAGAGAATCCCAAGCAGGGATTGATCTCACCACCCTGAGATCATGACCTGAGCTGAAATCAGGAGTCAGATGCTCAACCTACTAAGCCACCCAGGTGCCCCAAGAAAAACAAGATTTTATTTTTCAGTTAAATTTCTTAATTATTAGTGAGGTTCAACATCTTTTCATTTGGTTGCTACTATTTCTTACTCTTTTGTCAATTCATGTTCTTTGCTTAATTTCTTATAATGAGTTGCCCTTTACTTTGTGATTTGTAGGAACAGTCCATTGTACATGTAGCAAACATTTTCTCCTGGGATGACATTTGTAGTCATAAATTTAATGATTTAATGAGTTCAAATCTGTTACTGTTTCTCTTCATGGCTTTCTGCTTTTATGTCTTATTTAGGAAGACCCAGTCAAGTGATTTAACATTTCTGAGCCTGGATTTCCTCATTCTTAAAATGGGGGATAAATTACAAATCTTAAGGCTTGTTAAGAGAGTTAAATAAGTATAAAAATGTCTAGTAGACTGCCTGGCAAATAGCAGCCCCGGCTCTTACTTCGTAAATATTGCTTATTCGGGCACTTGACAAACATTTGTAAAGTTCCTACTACGTGCCAGTAATTGTGTTAGGGGCAAAGGATATAGAGATAAGACTCCGCCTTCCTTCAAGGAATGAGAATGACATTATTTTTTTTCCCGACTGATTACATTGTAATACAAAGCATTCTTTCAGCTTTAATTTGTGGGATTAAAGATTAAAGTTTTTTTCCCCATCAGATCATTATGATAAATTAACTAATGTTCTTTTCAAAGTTCTTTTCCCCATCAAATCATTATGATGAATTAACTAGTGTTCTTTTCTTACTTGGTGGTTTGGTTTATTTTCAATAGGATTTTGTTTGTTTTTCACAAAAATGGTCATTTGAGCTGTAAGGCAAAAGTGCAGCCTCCTAGGCTGAATGGTGCAAAGACTGGAGTTTTCTCCACAAGGAGCCCACATCGTCCCAATGCAATAGGACTGACCCTGGCCAAGCTGGAAAAGATAGAAGGTAACAAATTTCATTTCTACTTTTATCTTTTTTTTCCTTATCTAAAAGAAGCCTTATAAAACAAACATAGTATTCACTGGCTGTTATTCAGACGAGTACCAATGGTGTTAACCCCTGAGAACTACCAGGTATGGAAGAACCTGAAATGACTAAAAGAATGTTACCCTTTGAAATCAGCTCTCATAGGATGCTCAGAGTTTAATTATATTATCACGTATATTAGAAACTATTACATTATTTAAAAATAATGTATAATTTCATAATCATTAAATTAGTAACCAAATTTTCTCTGACTTGGAATACAATAAATACAAAATTATTCAAAAATAATTGGACACTTTCAGAATTAACACACAGTAACTGGTTGTATGTGTAGATACGGTAAACATGTAGGGTGGTGTTGTATTCTTTCTTCCTTGCACTTTTGAGGAAATGGACATGCACTGTGGCTGTAGTACAGGTGTCAACTCTGATGTGTCAGAGGGTCTACAGTGAATCTCACTAAAATAACATTTAAACACCTGTCAGATTGTGGAAGTACCTGTGTAGAATACCAGGTTAGTTTTACCTGTGTATTCAGATATAGCCTACTTACTGAGCCATACATTCTTTTTTTTTTTAAGATTTTATTTATTATTATTTTTTTTATTTGAGACAGAGAGAGAGAGAGAGACAGAGCATAAGCAGAGGGAGCGGCAGGCAGAGGGAGAAGCAGGCTCCTCGCTGAGCAAGGACCCTCGCAGGGCCCTGGGATCATGACCTGAGCCGAAGGCAGACACTTAACCGACTGAGCCACCCAGGCGTCCCACTCTTTGGAAGCATCCCATTCTTTTTTTTTTTTTTAAGTATAATTGACATATTAGTTTCAAGTGTACAGTATGATTTAGTATTTATATACATTGTGAAATGATTACCACAATAAGTCTAGATATCATTTGTCACCATATAGTTAAAAATTTTTTTTCTTATAGTATGAACTTTCAAGATCTACTCTCAACAACTTTCAAATATACAATATAGTATTATTGACTGTAGTCACTGTGGTGTACATTACATCACCATGACATTCTTATTTTATAATTGGGAGTTTGTACCTCTTGATCCCCTCTACCCATTTCTCCTATCTCCCTACTCTGTTCCCTCTGGCAACCACTGATCTGTTCTCTGTATCTTTGAGTTTTGGTTTGTTTGTTTTGTTTGTTAGTAAGGCATCCTGTTCTTGAATCACTCTGACCTAATAAGCACATTTGTTGGAGAGACAGAAGACTGGGAGTCAGGAGACCATTCCAGGCTTTAGCTTGCTTTTTTGTAAAGTGGACAAAGGAGTAGGACCTGCCCTCTCTGGGACACCATAGGATTTTTTTAAGGATCTTATGAGACAAAAGCTCTAAGAGTACTTTTCAGGTTACTTAGTGCTAAATAGGTAAGACCAGTTATTTTGCTTGTTTTTTGCGAGAACTTGAACTACCTCCCCTGGGTTGTATTCAACCCAGCCTTGGATAGGTTTTCCAGGAAAATTCTGTAGCCAGTCCAACTTGAGCTTTATCAGTTTGTGATGGCCAACCAGCTTGGGTAATAGTACTGAACATTTTATGATTATTTGTGCAACCCACATATATTTTCTGAGCACTGTATATGTGCCAGGCATTGTTCTAGGTGCTGAGGGTACAGTGGTAAACAAATTAGAAATGTAAGAGGCAAACACAGTAACACTATAGACATTCTTAACAAATAAGTGTTATGGTGACTACTAGTGTTTGTGTGGTGCTTTACAGTTTATAAAAAGCATTTATGTATGTTATCTGTCAGTGGCTCTCTGGGTTTGATAGGGTAGCAGCCCTCCTTTTATGGATGAGGGAGCTGAGGCTCTTTGATGTTTGATAATATTACCTAATAGCATCCAGCCAGGTGGTTGTATAACTCTAAATCCCATGAACTTTTACATATGCTACAATACTTTCTTCCTTCTGCAGACGTTGTTAGGCATATCCATTAGTTAGGAAGTCCAAAGTCATTCCAAAGTTTCAGGCTCATTCACAGTGAGCATATTTTAGAAATCAGAGTCCTTTGTTAGTCTTGTTTTCTAAAATGGAGACAGAGAATGTGATCACATGCAATTTTTTGATTCTCATTTGGCCAATTTCCCAAGAATCAAGTTAGTAGACTCTGCACCAGGAGCAGGAACTGGACATGCAGCTGTGTAAGTGAGACAAAAGACCTGTCCTTAATATTTGGCAATGGTGACTTATGTTCTGCTTAATTGTTTGAGTCTTGATGGATGTGTTAGATTTCCATTGCTATGTAACAAATTACCACACACTTAATCAGTTTATTTATTTATTTATTTATTTTTGAAGATTTTATTTATTTGAGAGAAAGTGAGAGACAAGAGCACGAGTGGAAGGGGAGGGGCAGAGGGAGAGGGAGAAGCAGACTCCCCGCTGAGCAGGGAGCTTGATGACGCAGGGCTCGATCCCAGGACCCTGGGATCATGACCTGAGCCAAAGGCAGACGTTTAACTGACTAAGCCACCCAGGCGCCCCTACTTAATCAGTTTAAACAATCCCATTTATTATCTCTTTGAAATATTATGTTTCATAATAATTAGTTTACAAGTATGGGAACAGCTTTGCCAGTCCTCTGCTTAGGATCTTACCAGGCTGCAAATTAGGTGTCATCTGGGATGAGTTCTTACGTGGAAGCTCAACTGTGGAAGAATTTGCTTCCAGGCTTCCTCGGGTTGTTGGCAGAATTCACTTCCTAGTAGTTGTGGGACTGAGAGCCACAATTGCTTGCTGGGTGTTGGCTGGTGGCTGCCCTCAGCTCCTAGAGGCTACTGCAGTGCCTTGCCACATGGGCTTTCCCAGTGTGGTTGCTTACTTCATCAAGCCCACAAGGAGAATCTCTCGAGTGAATCTGCCTGCAGGTACAGGAGTCTCAGATAATGTAACATAGTCACTGGAGTGATACCATGTCATACTCAAAAGATGGAGATTATCGAAGGGTGTGAACACCAGCAAGTGTGTTCATTCTGGGGGCCACCTTAGTGTCTGTTTGCCACAGTGGAAATCCTCATTGATCCCACAGAGATATATTGAGGACTCTGATGTGCCTGGAACAGAGTTAGAAGTCCCAGTGATGCAAAGATGAGTCAGTGCTCAAGGGCCTACTCACTGTCTGGGGAGAAAGACCAACTAGGTCATTGCCAGACCATGTGAAAAGGGCTGTAGTAGAGGTTTGTACGTAGGTTTCTCTGTGGAACCCAGAGGAAAGAATGCTTATGTGTGGAAGAGCCAGAAAGGCTCTGTAGAAGAGGTATTATAGAAGAGCCTTAAAGAGCGTGTAGGAATTCGACAGGTGAAGAAGAGGATGGGTTTCCAGGTAGAGTGAAAAGGGTGTGTTGGCACCAGGTATAAGAGAGCCTGGTGTGTAAGAATTGTGAGTTAAGCTTGGTGAGGCATAGGCAGATGGTGTTGGTTCTTAATTGTTCCCACTGTTCTTCATTGTTAAGATTTCTAAGAGGATGTGTTTTTCACATTATAGGTGGAGCTATATATCTTTCTGGAATTGACATGATTCATGGCACACCTGTCCTAGACATAAAGCCCTACATAGCTGAGTATGACTCGCCACAAAATTTGATTGAGCCCCTACAGGACTTTAATTTACAGAATAACCAGTATAAAACCCAAAACACATCCCGGTCTAATGGCAAGACTGACAGCTGTGACCGGCGACAGTTCTCAAGGTATGATAAACCACAAGCCTATAGTCACACTAAGGAGAAACCTAAATGTCCTGAAGACAGAACTTCAGGAGAAAACTATATGAAACATGATAACTCAGCAAAAATCCAGCAAAACTCCCCTCAGCACAGGGACATAGCAGCAGATTTGGGTTTAGAATCAAGAAGTGATCAGAGTCTGAATGTGGCAGAAGAACAAATTGGCTCATACTGCCTTGAGAAGAGCTTTTCAGAAGAAGGTACAGAAAAGAGGCTAAAGAGAGGGAAAGAAGCAGTGATCACACAAGGAAATAGTGCAGAGATGCCACCCGTGACTCCTCACTGCCCTTCCAGCATGGCCGGTGCAGCCCGCCACAGCGTGGTCCCTGCCTGGGTGAGAGAAGCCCCTGTGGCCACCTTGGAAGTCCGCTTCACCCCTCATGCAGAGACGGACCTCGAGCGCCTCAGTTCAGAAGGTGGACCAGGTACTTTCTGTCTCTTGTTTCAGAATGAGAGCTTTAGCCAAATTTGGTATTTCTGAGGGCAGTTATATGGAGTGTTTGTCAGTATGACTGGTGGTAAGAAACGTAGGAGTAAAAAATTATATTTGGGCAGCAGCACCATCTGACGATGTGCCTTGTTCAGCACAGTGAGTCCCAGACACTCAGTAAAGTGTTTGCTGAGAATGGTTGCTGCCTCACGAGGTGGCTCATGATTTAGGGCCTCTTGTCAATCTGTTACAGTAGTTCCTGGAGTTTTCAAACAGCTTCAGAAGCTAAATTGTGCTTGTTCTACACTTAGGTTAAGTTTTTTCATCTGTTTTACTGACTAGAGAAGTATCCCATCTTAGTCTAACTATCAGGTGGCTGATAGCTCTCCCTATGGCACAGAGCCTAGGGGTAAAAGGGAAGAGTCTCTTAGCACAGTAACTGTCCCCATAACAAGTCTTAGCACTAGAGACCTGCCCTTCACTGTAGAAGAGAGGCCACCAGACTTTTACTTGGAGCTTGTATACTTTAACACATGGTTTTTAACAGACACTGTAACCTGGTTTCCCCAGCCCATAGCTGATCCAAGGCAGCAATCTAGAATGAAGGAAGGTGGCTGCAGTGAGTCTAGTAAGAAGTAGCCAGTTAGTTGCCAGGGATATGTCTTGTTTCATCTGCCACTCCACGGTGTTTCTCATTCTTTCCAAAAGCTTTATGTTTAAACAAAGCATTTGATTTTTAAATTGACCTCTTTATTTAAAGTTTTGTTTATGAAAGTTGTTTCGTCCTTGTATACAGTTGATGGGAGGAGGAAGGTCAGTTTTAAAAGGTTTTTGTGATAGAACAAAGAAAGCAGTGCTGCCTAGAAGATACTTTATATTTATACTTAGACTTTGGCCTGCAGTTATCAGTGAATGCTTCCTACTTTGGAAAGATTTATCTTTTTCAAACTATAGTGCTGTGTGTCTGAGAGGTTATAATGTGCCTTGCTGATTCAAAAAAATTGTTAAAAAGAGAAATTATGAAATGTCACTATAAAACAGGGACTGACTGAGACCAGCAGAATTTGGAGTTTATATAGAAATAAGAAATGACCTCAGAAGGTTTAGAGTCTAGAAAAGATAAAAGATACTGAAATGGTGGTGGTGTGTTGGTGTAGGGGTGGGGGGATTGGTGCTGGAATGGAGTGCTTGTGGGCACATGAGGGGGAGAAGGATTATGACTTGGGGAGCAGGGAGGAAATCTGGGAAGGCTTCCTGGAGGAAAAAGTATTTGAGCTGAGTCTGGAAGAATAAGTAGGCAGAGAAATGAGGGAAGGGCACCTATTACAAATGAACAGCCACGCAAAGGCCTGGAACTTTTACCAATTACACTGTTACTGAAGAGTGTGATGTTTTTGGAATTCCTCTTTTTTGAGTGGCCTTGGAATCATTTCATGAGCCATGCAATAAAAGAATCTTAGCACTGCATAATTGGTCCTTGGTGGGAATTTTTTTTTGTTTTTTTTTTTTTAAGGATTCCATGTGATCCTTGGTTTTTTACTTAGTCCTTGGTTTTGACTAAAGATTGAACTTCATGGCTTTATTTACAAACTTACTGGATATAACCCAAGTGATTTTTGGCTGTTTTCTAAAAATTGAATTTACTTTCAGAAGAATAAAGATCCACCACTACTGCAGATGCTATTTTGAACAACATTATTTAAAGCACATACCTGGCTTTCATTTGGATGTGTTATATTGTAGCTACTAAAAATTAAGTCACAGTTAATTTTTTATTTAAGTTTTGTACATACTGTATTTTTAAAAATTAAAATACATTCATGATGATATAGATGTAGGAAGCTTTGCCACTTAACAGGGTATACATCTGTTTACCTGAAATATGCACCTTGGTGGTTTGGGGTGGCCTGTTCCCTAGTCATGGTATTTAACTTTCTCATAGTACCTATTTTACTTTTTCAGAAGGACTCTCCCATTTCCTTGTGCCTTAGGGAATGTGGTGTTACTTTTAAGTAGGGCTGTGATACCAGCTCTCTGAGACACCGTGCCTTGCCTACAGCTGGTGCTTTGGGCATATGTGGGTTTAGTCTTATTTCTTGTGGCTTTCTGAGAGTGCTGGGACTGTCATGCATTTCCCTAACCCTGTACAGACTTAATTACTACTCCATTCTGAGAAGAAAATGACAAGGAATCAAATTAAAGTCGACATTGAACATAGGAGATTTTGTTCAGCAAATAAAATTTGGGGCACGCATAAGTTTAATCTAATGATAGTAAATACCACTTGAAAGTGATATGCTCTGTAACAACTGAGTAGATTGCCAAACCCAGTTCATTTCAAGTGATCATCAAGGAACCAACCAAACTCCACATTGAAGTTCACTGTAATGAAATTTGACCTGAGTGATTTTCAGCATTAAGTTGTATTCTTCTCATTGCAGATGGCAGTCAGCCTTCATTTAAATATTTTCAATCAGCAGAGGAAGCAAGGCATGCCATTGAGGCTGTGCTGTCAGCTGACCCTCGGTCTGTATATCGACGGAAGCTCTGCCAGGACCGCCTTTTCTACTTTACTGTAGACATAGCGCACGTCACTTGCTGGTTTGGCGATGGCTTTGCAGAGGTTCTAAGAATCAAGCTGGCTTTGGAGCCTGTTCAGATGACTGACTTTGAGGAGTCCTTGGTATCTCTGGGATTGTAAGTAGCCTCCATCATGTGTTTAAAACAGCCTAATTGACTCTGGATGTGGTTGTTGCATTAACTATACAAGCTAATGATGTGCCTTCTTTGCGGAAAGAAGCAACACTTTGTGATCTCACTGCTTTGATTGATTATGGTTGTTCAAAATATTTATTTGAAAAACTTTTTTAATAAACAGATTTAGAAAATTTGGAGAAATTTCCGTATCCTTTTCATTTGGTTAATATTGAAAAATCTAAAGGTGATGATATCTCAGTGATTTCTGAAAGAAGTGGATTGTTTTTGGCACTTGGTAAAACTGGGCAAAGATCATTCTAGCAGGAACTTACAAGCTCAAGGTATCTGTTCAACAGTTCGTATTGGTTTTCCTGTCTGGAAAAGCTTGACCTCTCTATTTTATTATAAATCAAACTGAGTTGGGGCACCTGGGTGGCTCAGTTGGTTAAACATACGCCTTTGGCTCAGGTCATGATCCCAGGATCCTGGGATCGAGTGCCACATCGGGCTCCCTGGAGGGAGTCTGCTTCTCCCATTCTGTCTGCCTGCCACTCCCCCTGCTTGTGCTCTCTCTGTCAAATAAATAAATAAAATCTTAAAAAAAAGAAATCAAACTGAATTAACAATGTCTTAGGAATCTAACAGATCAAAAACAAGTGGTTATAAAGATCTTTAGAGATTAAATCCCTGTGTTTTATAGACTTTGTAATACACACATATGTATGTATATAGTATACATATATTTAATTCTGATTTCAGAGTAAGGACTCTGATGTTTCTTTGGATGTCTTTGTATCAGAAGAGAAAGTCCCAGAAGTCCAAGAAAATAACTTAATTTTTGGTTTATTTCTTTTTTATTCTATGATTATTTACTGAAAACCTATGGGTTAGGTTTTGGTGATAAAATGAGATAAAAACAAGATGCAGTTCTTGTAAGTCATAGGGGAGGAGGAAGATATGAGCGCATTATTGTGTTACAGTTAGATAAATATAGTAATTAAATCTGTACATGGTTCCTGTGTAGTATGATGTAGGAAGCAGTTGTAAGAATGTATTGCCTATAGGTGATTTTGATGATGTGATCTGAGATAACTGAAGATTTATGATCAGCATAACCAAATTAGACACCTGTCAACATGACAGGCTTTCCTAATCACAATTGTAAATCTTAATAGCTGATTGATCATGGTTTTGAAATGAGCCCTGCTGCTTGTAGATACTTGCACAGAGTCATTTGTGGCTGATGACACTGCACTCTTGAACCAAACTGGATTGTCTTTGAGGTTACTCAGAACCTCTCGGGGGAAGTATCTTTAATTTGATTTTTAAAAGATCTTTATTTTGAGATAATTATAGATTCACAGGAAGGTGCAAAAAATAGTGTAGAGGCCGTCTATACCCTTCACATAGCTTCTTCCTATGGTAGCTTATATAAATTGTAGTATAACGTTAAAACTAGGAAGTTGACATTGGTATGATCTACCCTTTATTTTGATTTTGATGTCTTTTCTCTTAAAATTATTTTGAGACTAAATCAGGGCTTGAAGCACAAAATGTTGATATTTAATATTGAAAAAATAGTCTGAGGATGATACCATCCAGCCTTCTAGCAACAGGACTATTCAGTTGTTTGGAGTTTTAACATACTTTCTCAGGATTTTAGAACTAAAATCCTAAATATAATCCAGTTTAGTTCTCTGCCCACTCACAGTTCGTGATGATCCTTCACACCTGCCCTTTGTAGTTCCTTATGTATGATAGTGCTCATTATTAAAATGTTCATTTCTATGAGATAAAATCTGTTCTCTGATAACTCCACCCTCTAGTGGGGCCACATGGCATAAGGCTGATCATGCTCCCATGCTAGCCTGTCGGATACCATTCCAGCTCCCTACCCCTCGGTCCTGTCTGTGCTGAGCCACCCTCGTTTCCTTCAGCTCTTTCCCATTTAACATGATGTTAAGCTTCTTCCCCAATCTTTGAATCCCCTGTGTGAGCCTTTGTCTCTACGCATGTATTTTCAGTGTCCCATTGTGAGGAAATTTGGATCTCTAAGTCATGAACTTCCATCCCCCAGAAAGAGAAATAGTTTGAAGTAAGTCTTATATTCCTTTTCGTTGTGGGAGCTTTTCCAGAAGAAGAAGAAAGGGACACAATACTCTACTATGCATAAATGTTATCTACCTTAAATTTTAGCCTTTGTTTTTTGGTGCCAGTAGGGGGAGCCCTTGATAACTGATTATTTTCACTAGCTTGGAAATAAATTCCAGGAATTCAAGCTGTTCAGGTAATTTTGGCTTTCAGCCCACTTACCCCAGCTTTCCAAAACAGTAACCTCCACAAGATGCTTGCACTGATGCTTGTCAATCACATATAGGAAGAGATTAGAGGATGAGTGCCATTTATTAAATTTTTAAACTGTAGCTTGGCTTAAGGGCTAGGATGGATTATTTCAGCATGTGGAGGCTGTGCACAACCAGATAGACTCATTAGCCAGACCCATGAGCATGTATATACAAGGTGTTCACTCTGTTTATGTATTTGTGACTTTTTTTTTTTTTTTTGGAAAAAAGAGAGTGGAATTGAAGATACCAATCAACCTCTTGTCGGTAGTTTTCGTTTTATGATAATAGTCCCAAAGAAGGTAGGTGAAGACTCAATAAGAGTGAAATATATATCAGTTACGAACTTCCATCATATCTTTGGCACCGGGCTACATGCTTCTCATACACTGATCAGAGGTTAGGTAACATACTGAAGCTCACACAGCTGGTCAGCCATGCATTGAGGATTTCAACCCACCCAGTTTGGCCCCAGAGTTGGCTCCCTTCCCAGCGTGGCTCTGCTGTCTCCCCCATGCAGATGCAGATGTGCAGCAAACCATGCTGGTTTATTTGAGGGTCAGCAGCTTCATGTGCTTAATAAGTGCAGGACACTTAGAGTGACGTTCATGGGAATCCAAGCACTAAATAAAGAACAGGGAGAGGAATACAAGTAGAAATGCCTTTTCCTACCAGATCTCTGTGGAACCTCCTGGGAAGCAGTGTGGGAGATGTGGAGAATACTGAATTTAGCCTCAGAAACTTCAAATGCCGTTTTCTGCTCTACCCTGTGCTAGCTATGTGACCTTGGGCAAGTCACTGCACCCATCTCCAAATCCCTGCCCTCACAGAGTTCTTACAAGGATAATACTTGGGAAAGTATTTTCTAACTCTTCTGTGGTCTACAAATGTAGATAACATTTTTATTGTGCCCGTCATCATTGATACCCTTTCTTTGCCACTGTGCTCTGGCTCACCTGCCTGGATGAGCAGACTCAGGGGAACCAAGGGGTCCTTCAAATACAAGGTATGGATAACCTCTGTTTTCTTTTTTTATTACAGAATTTTTTTTAAAGGACTCCTTTTAGCAAGTTATAGGATGCTTTGCTAGGGGAGATATCACAAAGTGCTCCTACCTTAAGGACCCAGTTGACTTGAAGCCACATGCCCAGGGCAACATCTTCCTTCCACCCGGCCTTCCCTTCTAGGATTGCACATACATCACAAACTGCCGTCCTTGCCTGTGTGTACAATCAGCAGGTCAACCCCTTTCTTACACTTTTTGACCTTCTTTCCTGATTCAGCCCAGATGCTTCAGGAAAATCTCTGCATTTCTTTTTTATAAGAAGATAAAAGTGTAGTCATGCTATGAAATTATTCTCTATGACAGAGAACAGGCAAGTCATAAGGGTTAAAGCTCAATATGACAGGGATTTTCTGTTACTGTTAAAATAAGGCTCCTAATATAGGTAGTCATCAAATGACTCTCCAGCATTCTCTCTAGTCTACTCCCTGCCCCTTCTCCACCTTTGTAGGTTACAGCAGTTTCAGCTCACAGAGGATTCAAGGTTTAGATCAGTGCGTGTGACTGTGAACAGGCATAAGAAAAGCCTTTTCCGTGTCCACAGGAGGTAAAAATTCAGTGATCCACTCTGTTTTTTTTGTTTATGCTGTATTATATATTTTATTCTTACAATAAAGGAAGCTAGAGAAAAGAAAAATGTTATTTAGAAAATCATAAGTAGAAAATGCATTTACAGTGCTATATTTATAAAAAAAAAAAAATTGCACATCAGTGGACCAGTGCAGTACAACCCATGCTGTTTGAGGGTCAACTGTATTTTTGTGGATGGAGTAGTCACAGAGCAGTGATTTGAGTCAGTGGGCATGCCAGTAATCCAAGTGAGAGGTGATGATGACTTAGATGTAGGTTGAAGTAATGTAAGTGGCAGGGATGGTCAAAATTTACTTATATTTGATGAATTTGGATTTAGAAGGTATTTATGTGGTAGAGTCAACAGAATTTGAGAACGGTTTAGATGTGGGATGTAAGAAAAAGAGTTAGGAGAATGACTCCAAGGTTTTTATCCTGAACAAAGGGGAGAATGAAATTGTCATTCATTGAGATCATAGATAATTTTCTCTATCTGCAAGTTTTCTTCTTAACGTATATTGCATTATTTGTTTCAGAGGTACAGATCTGTGATTCAACAGTCTTGCACAATTCACAGCGCTCACCATAGCACATACCCTCCCCACTGTCTATCACCCAGCCACCCCATCCCTCCCACCCCCTCACCACTCCAGCAACCCTCAGTTTGTTTCCTGAGATTAAGAATTCCTCATATCAGTGAGGTCATATGATACATGTCTTTCTCTGATTGACTTCACTCAGCATAACACCCTCCAGTTCCATCCAAGTCATTGCAAATGGCAAGATCTCATTCCTTTTGATGGCTGCATAATATTCCATTGTGTATATATACACCACATCTTCTTTATCCATTCATCTGTCAATGGACATCTTGGCTCTTTCCACAGTTTGGCTATTGTGGACGATCCACTCTATTTTTTGATGGAGGGAGCCACTTGCCCAGTGAACTCCCACCACGCTAATCAATCAAATTTGAGTCAAGGTGTGTTATGGATAAAATCTTCTAAATAAATAAATAAATAAATAAATAAAGTTATCTCTTTTGGTATCTTAGCAACCCATTGCTCTGAGAGCTAAGCTTGGCACCTAACTGCTATTTAGAACAGGGGTCAGCAAGCTATAATCCGAAGGCCAACTTTGGCCTACACCCTGTTTTTGTATAGCCTAAGAGCTAAGATTGGTTTTTACATTTTAAAAAGATTGTAAACAAAAACAAAAAACCAAGA